TGCATGCTAGTCTCTGAAAATATTAGTAAGGGATGAGCAACCACACACTCAGTAGGATAATCTTTTTTCCAAACATTTACAAAGTTTTAAAAGCCAACATTCTACAAATCATACGAATAAGTAATGAAAGTTTTTTATAATTAAATACATGTATAAGATAATAAGTAAAACATTTATAAAAATCTCCCAACACCTCAACATTAGAAATATGCAAGGTATAAATTAAAGCCCAACCATCATAGCAAATACCATGTATGCCTCGCATACGGATAATGTAGTCAATCACACTGGTTCACACATGAACCATCCCCGGGGAACCTTTTGGGTGTTGCACTCTAGGGTCTCATCGCCCTTCTTACTTTTTAAGGGGAATGTGTAGGGCACAACTTGTGATGCCACATAGGCCATAACCGAAAACCACTACCATAACCAATCCTCTTTAGGACTAGTAGCCGTCTTGACAACCCACTCCATAGGCCAACCGTCTACTAACCCTCTACCTGTCAGTATTGAGCATATATTTTCTAAAAATCATTATTTTCTATATTCATAAATCCTTTTAAAAACTCATGTCATAACCTTGACATTTTATCAAACATATAGTATACTCAAATCTCAAAATTTGCATTTTCAAAGCAACACAACTAATTCCAAGAAAATAAGTCATATATATTATGTACAAAATCATAGCATACTTCAAAACCCCCACATCATAAGTTCAATCAAATACCCATAACTAAAATCAAATTAGGGTTTCAAACCCACCACAAAATTATTTTTATTTCCAAGAGAATATGTAATATATATTATGTATAAGGCCATAGCATACTTCAAAACCCAAAAATCATAGATTTAATCAAATATCCATAACTAAAATCAAACTAAGTTTTCAAACTCATAACACAAAAATCATTTTTATGCATGTAAGTTCACAATCCATGACATATTCAACACTAAATCAAGATTTATAACAAGTAATTTTGTCATCCAACACATAGTAAGTTTTAACTAAAGAAAATAAACGAGATGTACATTGTAAATGCAAAAAAGAGGAATCCCCACCTAGAAATCAAAATTCCAAGCTTAATCTCCGAGATTCTCAAGCCAAGCTCAAGCCCTAGAGCCATTCTTCTCTCTTTCACTCTCTAGTTCTAAGATGGGTGAGGGAGTTTTGGGTGAGATATGTGAGAAAAAATGGAAGAAAAGGGGCTGAAATCTGGGTTTTAAACCTAGCAGTCCTGAATTCTACTGTTCATGAGCTGAAAAAAATATTTTTTCTCTAAAATTATAGTTTTCCCACTAAACATTCTAATTTTGATCCATATGACTATCCTAAGATTTTTCGACATTCCATATTCATTTTTAATGTTATTTTAACCTAAAAACATTTAGTTTTATGATTTATCTCAAAACTAAAGTTAATTTACACCCGAAACACTAAAATTATTATTTTATCCCTCCGAACCGCTATATAAGTTAAGTATCCATTCAAAGTTTTTCAGACCTTCTGGATTCAATGGTAATATTATTTTGATCTAAAAATATTAATATATTTACTTAGTTACCTTTATCAATCTTAAACACCTCCAAAAATTAAATTTAACGCAAAAATCAATACGTTTGTACATCAAGTTTACACGACTATTCTTTTAACAACGATTCAAAGTTTCTCTCATCATTTTAATTATTTTATGTAAATATTATCAAGTTAATAGCATTTATATTTATATGAAATATGAGATCTCACAAATTTATCAAATTAACCCCAAATTAACATTCAATTTCATCAATTTAAAATTCATATTCATCAGATTAATAATAAATTCACCTTAAATTTTATTTATTAAAACTCAATATCATCCAAATAAAACCAAATTAACTTTTAATTTTATCAAATTAATATTGAAATTTCAAATTTTAAAATTTAATTTCATCTAAATAAACAAAAAAGTAACATTTTATTTTATCAAATTACAATTAAATTGCATCAAATTAAAAAAAAATTAGCTTTCAATTTAATTTATTTATAGTTTCAGAATTTAGCACCATACAAATAGCCAATTTTATCAAATTAACATAAAATTTTATGAATTTAACATTCAATTTCATCCAATCCATTAAATCAACACTAAATTAACATTAGATATCATCAATTCAAAATTTAATTCCATCAAACTAATCTCAAATTCACTGTCAACTTTATTTATTAAAATCTAATTTTACCAAATTA